GCCTTGGCTCCTCCAAAACATTAGCGCAAAAGGCAATCAAGTGGCCCGAGTTAGTCCAGGGACCAGTGCCAGCCCTGCAAAGAGAAAGAAGAAGATGGCCCCCACAAGACGCTCTCCAAGACTACACCAGGAGGACAGCAAAAAAGAAGCCGAACAAAAGGCTCAGGAGACAGATAAGAACGAGTGGGGATCCAGTGCCACCCAGGCATTCGGGTTCTCCGCTCCTCAGCCCCTGAGCAGTGCCAGGGAGGTCCAGTGTCCAAGTGCAGCCAGTGGTTCAAGTGGGGAGGACACTTCTGGTAATTTCACGTTTGTGCCCACGGCTACTGCCGGAACCGATGGCACGGAGGATCTGTCCCCCAAACCCCCAAATGAACCGTCACAAGGTTCAGTGATATCTTTATACAACATGTGCTATTCTCCTCTTATATCTGGCCTTTTAGACGTGGCTCCATCCCAGGACTCTGACCAGTCCGAGGAGGACCACGAGGGCTCCTTGGATAACAAGTGTTCACTCAAACACAACGCCGGCCCATAGTATCACAGGCTTTGTAACCATGAATCCACTTCAGCTTTAGTAAAGGCAAAGGTCCATTTTGTTAATTCCACAAAATAAACAATCCAATGAGAATTGTGAGTCCATGTTCTTCTGTTTCTGTGCCACATACCTCATTAGATGAGCATGAGGAGGCTAGAAATCCTGGCCCCAGAAAGACGTGCATCCCGGTCGTCCTCTTTCAAGTTCACCCACTCAGCCAAGGAGCTGGCTTGGGCATCCTGGGGCAAGCCCAGGGAGACCTGGTACCCTGAGCCTTGCCTACTGAACAGGAGACAGAACCTTACATTAGTCATGCATCCTGAAACAGGAGGGTCTTTGCTCACAGGTCCCCCTATGATGCCAGGAAGATTCTGATCAGCATCTGAATGTGTCTAGCCCAAGTTCCAGGCACCCTGCAGAGAGGCCCACCTAGAACCTGGGCCACCCCATCTGCTAAGTGGTGTAGGTACCCCAGAGCCAGTCTGGCCATTCCAGATAACACCCAGGAGAAAGCCCATCATCCTCACAGCTAACAGCCATTAGTAACCCTGCTAGATAGGACACAAATAAATTAAAGAGTGCCCACACGGAAAACAAAAAACTCTACCCATCACTTTTCCATCAGAGCTGTATTTCAGATCTGTCCTTGGGTCCCGAGGTAGCTATGTGACATGTGTAACACAAGCCCTCGTGAGCCAAGGGACACTTACAGCCGACCAGTCACTTGCCAGGAGAGACAGGTGCTTTCTTTCAAAGTCTGATGTCCCTTCCACCGTGAATGAAGCCATGCCTTGGATGGTCACCATCTGGCAATCATTCAGTGCCCGCTCCCAGAACTCCCACAAGGATCCCTGGGTGCTGCTGAAGTGTTCTGTGAGTTTGACCACAACAAAGAGATGGGAGTCCCAAACAATAATCAGTTCTGCTAAAACAGTTTTGTTTTTCCTCTATAAAAGCCAAGAATGAGCAGGACCAAAAAGAGTGACAGCACCAAGATATGTCCTGGCAGCTTCCCCATTTCCCTAAAGCCAGACAGAGTGCTTGAGACAGGCAATGAGCCCAGAGAGGCATCTCACGAGGACAGTCGCCTACATCTGGGCACAGAAATCTGTTTACCTGAACAGCACATGGTGGGTAGTGCTCTCCATGGCAGCGCCAATTCAGTTCCACATCTGTGGCATGATGGCCCTTTGATGGTGATGATTCATCTGGATTCTCAGTAACCTTCCTGTGGAGTCCTCCTGTCCCTAGGAGATCAGGTGCTGTGGGATGCCTACGTGGAAGATAGCCTTTCCCCTTTCCTGGGTATGAGCTTCAGTAACCACATGGGGTTTGAAAGTGCAGTCGGGTACTTCTGCTTCAGGTTGGTCAGGACAGCCTTTTTCCCCGGTTCCACATCTTCCTCAGGAGCCACGTTTTTGGGGCACTGCAGAGTTGCCCCAACGTCAGGGAGCCCCGTGCACCATGAGAGAAGCACTGAGATGTTTTTCCTTCCATCAACCACAGGAAAGGTTTCTTTAAAGTTATGCCCTCCAGAGCAAAGCTGATTTCACCAAAGGGACACCGAGCGAGCTGGGTCCCTAAAGAACTTCCCATGTGTCAAACACTGTTCAGGGAATTCTGGGTGGGGCCAGGGGAGAGAGGGAAAAGAAGAGGACAGAGCCTGGTCCAAGAAAAGGCAGGTCCCAGCCTGACTGCTGTGGGCAGCACACACAGGTCAGAGGAGCCCTGACTGCTGTGGGGAACCCACCAGCATTTAGGTCCCAAGCCCTTCACCAGGTGAAAGGAGCTGGTGTGGGACCTCAAACACTGAGGGGTGAGCGAAAGGGCCCATGATGCCATGGGCGCTGGAGGTGGGGCAGCTTTGTGAGGTCAGGCAGACAGCCTGAGCCTGGAAGCCACCCGACATTCTCTCTGTGCTGTGCAGCCTCCCCTGGTCTTTCCCACATAAACACACACGTGTGTGTGTGTGTGTGTGTGTGTGTGTGTGTGTGTGTGTGTGTGTGTACATGCATACACGCACATATGTGAGCACTGACAACAGCACATGAAGACTTGGACCTTTCTCTGCCCTGCAGGTCACCAATTGGACTGAGAACCAGTGTGGACAGAAGGTTTGACCCAGGTCATAGAAACTCTGCCCACAGAACCCCAGCCTGGGCCCCTTGCTGCCCCTTTGAAACTGTGCTGCCTACAGAAACCACAGCCTCATCACCACAGGTTTAAAGAAAACAACCCCAGACTCCTGAGCAAGGTCCTGGGGGCACTCTTGGAGGGGTGTGAGTTGCACTCAGGGTGTCACATCTTGCCTAAGATCACTCCTCAGGCATACTTCTCCCTTCCCAGAGCAGGGCCTGAACCTGCCTGGGGTTCAACTCCAGCCTCTCCAGCAGCAGCTCCCACCTGAGGACATACTTCCAGTCCCTGTGAGCAATGTGGGTGGCGATGGTACAGTTGCGCTGGCTGCTCACTAGGGTTGCCAGTAAGTCTCCAGAGTGTTCACCGCATTTAAGACCAAGCCTGCATAAGGCTGCGGGAAGGAGAAGCAGGAGAACTCCATCTCCCTAGAGATCCGTGGGCCTCATGTGGCCCGGGGAAACCACAAGTGGGACTGTCCATAAGCATCATGAATCATCCCTCCATGTTCATAGTCTGTGGGCTGACCTCTCCCCAATGTCCCCTGGGGCCCTGGAACCCCACTGACAGGGGTGGTGGGAGAGCAGAGTGTTGGCTCCTTCTTCCTATCCCCAAGCAATCAGCGGCCAGGCCCTATGGAAAGGGGTGAAAATGCAGATGCCTCATCCATCAGATGGAGTCTTTGGGCGGCTCAAGGAAGAAGGTGGAGACAGGTAAAGATAGGCACTCAGCACAGGATGTGGTCAGTTCCACAAAGGAGGTCACTGAGGCCAGGGGAGAAAGGGCCCTTTTGGCTTCACACCTGCTGAGTGGGTTCTAGTCCTCTCCCAGCTCAGACCCTCCTGGGCTTTGCTTCTTCTCTTCATCCCACCCCCACCCACCCCAGCACAGTCAGCTACCTCCTCTTTTCACCCCAAAGGCTCTGTAGGATCCCAAGCACCCTGGTCCCTCTTCCCGGGCCGCTGGTTGCAAATACTTGGGATGCAACCTCAGCTAGGCCCTGGGACACCACGTTTTCAGCTCAGATCCTGTCAAGTGTTTCCCTCTGGCCCCTTTGGGAGACACCCTCCTCCATCCCCTGGCTGCACCACTGCCATCTGCTGTCAGCAGGCACTCTGGCACTAAGGCCCCACTGCAGCCTAGAGGAAGGAATAACAGGAGCAGGAAGAATTGGCACTGGAACACACACACCATGCCCATTTCAGGCCAGGAGATGGGCATGATCCACAAATCCTAGAACTCAATCCTCAAATAATGGTGGTGGGGAAGGTGGCACAGAGGGAAGAATAGATGGCCCTGGATCATGTGGGCCCTTACCACATCACCCACTGTCCTTGCCTTTTCCCTGGGGAAGGGGGTCCTGGTACCTGATGGAGCTTGGATTCCAAGGGGCTGAGGGCCTGGCCTGTAATGTAATAGGACAGTCATAACCGGTGGCTCCCCCATCAACATCATAGGGCCTGAGCCTCAGTACCACACTCCACATGAGCAACCCCCCACTCCGGATGACTCTCCCCTCTTGTCTTAAAGGACATGAACCTCACTTCAGCTATTATGTCCTCCTGTGTGTGGAAACATGCCCATCCTCAAAGACAAGACCTGGGGGACAAAAGCTGCCTGTGTTCACTCCCTCGCCAAACAGTGTCCTTCCAGTCCTGGCTCCAGGCTCCTCTGCTCTGCCTCCCCTCCCTTTCTCTGGCTGGGTTGCCTTTCCCTGTGAGGACAGAGGCTCGGTGAATGTTTAGGGTGCACATGAACCAGTGAGAAGTGTCTTTTACTGTTTATTTTTCTACATTCTTGAATAAGCTAAGAAAATCCAAGTATATATATTTTGTTTTTACAGAATGACAGACTAAATATGATACAGGCTAAATATGATAAATATGATAACTATTTTATCTGTTTTTGCATCTATGCTCTTACACACACACACACACACACACACACACACACACACACACAAAGCCTATTCCAAGTCCACATTATCTGGTTACAGAGTACAAATACAATGAAGGATTCCCATTTTTTTCTTTCTTTCTTTTTTTTTTTCTTTTTTTTACCAAATAGCAAAGTTCTTTGTCTTAAGTTAAATTACAATGAACGTGTGAACCATGTCATTTGTAAACTTAGATTCTGAAGCTAAAAAACATTCTACTTAAAGTAACATTATAAAATACCAAAAATAAAAGAAGATACATTTCTAAGTCAACCCAATGGAACAGAGACACACAGATGTTATTCACTATAATCCCCTAGCCTAGCCCTCCACCGCTTGGATCATTGACTTCCCTCTTAAAACACAAAGTAAGGAAATCTGCCTTGGACTTCACTGAGTGCAGAAGAAGCGACTGGACTTGGCAGAAGAGCCTGCACTGGCCATGGCACTAGGATCATCTGTGGTGCTAATTCTGGCCCGGGCTCTCTGCTCCTCCTCTCTCAAAGCCTCCTCATACCAGTGTGGGAAGGATCTGGGGTCACTCCCGTTGATCTGGGCCAGAAACTCCAGGACTTTGAACTTGGTGGTCTCAGCGTGGGCCCTGGGTCCCCACAGGAACTCATAGCGAGCAGGCTGGCTATTGGGCACCTGCCGGTACTCCAGGTATTGTTCCTGCACCCAAACTTTGGTGAGGAGCTCTCTAGGCTCCCCATAGATACAATGCTCCTTCCCATCATGCACCCCCCTGACATGCAGGGCTTTCCAGATTTCCTCCTCAGAGGCACAGTCACCCTCTGCGGCAATCAGCCACAGAACTGTGACTAGGAGGCCAGTGTTGGGAAACCTGTGCCCATCGCCCACCATCCCATCATAGGTGAGGCCCAAGGTGGTGACCAGGACATAGGTGTGGGTTCTGGGGTCCACTTCCTTCACATCAATGCCAAAGACCAGCTGCATGCACTCAGAAGCTGCCTCGAAGATCTCAGGGAAGTGGCCCTGGTGCACTTTGATGACCATACTCAGCATTTCTGCCTTTGTGGTTGGCTCTTTGGCGCAATACTTCAGGAGCAGGAATGCCACCAGGTAAGCCTTCTTCAAACATAGGGCGCCTTGGAGAGTGGACACAGCCTCTTCAGAGCCCAACCTGATGCTTGGCCCCTCCTTATCTGGGCTGCTGGAGCTCTCATCTTCAGGTTGGCTACATGGAGAGGCTGCCATAGCAGTGGGGGGAAGGCAGGCACCCTGAGGAGGACTTGGTGTTTCAGCAGTAGCTGCCTCCTGTAGGCTCTCTTGGAATAGGACTGGGAGGGAGGGAGACACAGCCTCTTCCTCCCCCTCAGAGCTGAACAGCTGCACTGCCACCAGTTCCTGGTTCTCCCTTGGGTCCTGATGGTCTTCCTCGGGCTTACAAAGCTCACTCATCTGATGGCGATGCATGGTGACTCGTGCTGGGACAGTGACAGAGGGTGGGAAGGTGGGCAATGGGGACCCACAGGCCTGTGAGAGAAAGGGAGTGTGAGGGGCCCCAGCTGAGAAACGCACCCTAGGCAGACCGGGCAAAGGTGACTTACAGGTCTCTTTTTTAGGGGTGTTCTCGGGCCTCACACGGTCCTCTCCTCACTGGCCTGTCCAGTAAGATCCTGAAGGACGAAGTGAGAAGGTTCCTCAGGGTGTAGCTGGCACAGCCCAAGGCTCTGGGAAAGACATGTGGTGAGGTGGGATTGGGTGTTGTGGGGTCTCCTCTGTTCTGATGATCACCTCTGTGCTCACTGAGGGTTTTCACCAGTCCCCGGGCAGGGCCTTCTTCTCCCACTCTGCTGGCCTGAGACAAAACTCTCAGAACAAGACACACACTTCTGAGACTAACCAGAAGGACTTCGGGTGGCCCCACAACTAATAGGGGAAAGAATTCAGGCAGCAGAGGGGGTGGGGGGGCCCAGGTCCTGCCGATGAAGAGTTGAGGACCCTGAGGGAGATTGGGGGACCCTGGACCCCAGAACAGCGTTTCTCAGCTGAGGCCCCTCACACTCCCTTTCTCTCACAGGCCTGTGGGGACCCCAGAGTCTAATAGGTGTCGCCAAGGAACAATAACGTGCCACCTTACTCTATTGATTCCATCTGTCCCACTAAGTCTTTACCCTTTCACTGTCCAGGAACTGAAGCAACTGCATCCGCTGACTTGAGGTTACCCTCCTAAAGGAAAGGCCTCATCTTCCTAGACAACGGCAGAGGAAGTGAGGGGAGCCAGGACGTCCACAATACCAGCTCTCCCCATTCCTGACAAAAATGGCTCGGCAGACCTTGGGCTTTATGTATGCTTGTTTCAAGGGTGCCCTCATTCCTCATTGTGACCACCCTGCCAACTCATGGGAACCTGGCTCAACTTCTGTCCAGACCCTCAGACCAAGGCTCTCCCCTCACCCAGACCACCAATCTAAAAATCAGGAGGGACTAGGACTGACAGCCTAGCCCAAGGTTTCTAGGGCTGAGATTGGGGGAAGGCTGGATTTCTGTGGTGTCCCATTTTTGTCTCAAGGCTTGGGGTACACTCCCTCCTCCCTCGGGGTCCTCTCCTTCACTTTGGCCAGACACAGTACTCTTGTCGCTGTTGAGCGGATACCCTTCCTCAGATGACCGGACTTTGTCCACTCAGACCAAGGTCCTCACCTACCTGAGAGCCCCAAGAGACAAATGCGGAGGCACTACATTGCACAAACTCCAGGGGTAGCCTCAGGTGGCTACCATATCCCCCCTCCACCCACCCCCCCTCTGTCCCCACCCCCAGGATCCCTGCCATCATCACAAAATGCTGAGAGCAGGTACTGGGCGCTCTGTCCTGGTTGCATTCCCGGTGCCCCTGTAGGTTATTCATTTTTACTGCTGCCGGGGCAAGCCCTACCTCCATGCCTCCCACCTGGGACACTCTCTCTCTCCCCCTTAGAGAAATACCCCACCTCACCGAGGACTCCCCACTTTCCCACACATAATAGAAAGGAGTGTGCCACTTAGATCCACTGTTGTTCCTTTCCGGGTTGAGGGCTGTGGACAGCTGGCCTTTGAATCATCCCTCCCTTTCTGAGAAGGGGGTGTGCATTGAGGCTTCACGGGATTGGGTGTTCACACCGGGCAGATCCTGGGACTTGCCCCGCTGCTGATCTGGGGTTAACTCTCATGCCTCGGTCCTCACATCCCCAAGTAACCCCCAATCCACATGCATGTAGGAGTTTGCAACATCCAGCCCTTTCTGCCAGGGTCCCCGACATTGTGGGGTCCAGGGTCACTTTGGTGCTCCCTAAACTGACCTGTGGCTCTGCTCCTTACACTGGACCTGGATGGGGAAGTCAGGAAACTATGTCTGTGGTCACCCGACACACAAGTCCTCCTAGGACAGAGTATTCTGGTGTCCAGGGTCGCCTATTTCTCCCTCAGGGTCCTCAACTTGACAGCAGCAGGACCTGGGGTCCCCCCTCTACTGCCTGAAGCCCAGCTCCTTCTGCCAAACCCCCATTGTCTCTCAGACCTAGATGCAGAACTCACAAAGCTCAATGTGCGAGACCACCCCTCCCTCACTCCCAGGAGGCTGCGGGACAGACACTGTTCTGGGGTCCAGGGTCCCCCAGTCTCCCTCAGGGTCCTCAACTTGACAGCATCAGCATCTGAGATTCTCCTCCCCTGATGCCTGAAGCCCTGCTCCTCCTACCAAACCCCCCATGTCTCTCAGACCCAATGCAGAACTCACAAAGCACAATGTGTGAGGGAGCCTGCCCGATGGACACTGTTCTGGGGTCCAGGGCCCCCAGTCTCCCTCCGGGTCCCCCACACTGACTCCGGGCTGGTCCCGGACACCCTCTGCCGACCTGACACTCCGCCATGGCACGGAGCCCCCGAGTGTCTCCACCCGGAAGAGGCGGAAGTCAGTCCTCGAAGCTGGTGGCCACCCCGCACCTTGGGGCTCCCGGGACTGACTGCTCTGGGGCCCGGAGTCACCTTGTCTCCCCCCAGGGACCAGGGACGGACGGCCGTCCCCATGAGGCCTGCAGGCCCTGGCCCTCCCTCTGTGAACCGGAGCCCGGACCCCCACACGGAGCCCTCAACCCCGACACCCGAAGGGCGGTCCGTGGGCCTCAGTGCCCAGGGCTCCCGGCAGGGGCTGAACTAGACCCCGGGGACCTCCGTGGGGTCCTCACCGGGCTCCAGGCAGAGCCTGGGCCCCGCCTACCTGAGACCGCTCCCCTCAGCTTGTCCCCTCCGCCGGCCCGAAGCCGGCTTCTCAAGATGGCGCTCGGCTCCTTGGATTCTCAGGTGGAAGTCCCCACGAGGCCTGCAGGCCCTGGCCCTCCTTCTGTGAACCGGGAGCCTGAGACCCGAGACCCGAAGGGCGGTCCGTGGGCCTCAGGGCCCAGGGCTCCCGGCAGCGGCTGAACTGGACCCCGGGGCCCTCCGTGGGGTCCTCACCGGGCTCCGGGCAGTCTGGGTCCCGCAGATCTGAGAGCGCTCCCCCAAGCGCTTGTCCTTGAGCCTCTACCCCGCTCACCCCCCGCTCCACCCCCAGTTCTCTCAGGAGGTGGGCGAGGGGTGCAGGAAATCCTGCTCAGACACCACCACCACCCCGGGGTCTCCCTGGGTCCCGGGGCCTCAGTCGTCCCTCAGGGTCATACCTGGGCTCTGTCCCTCTAGCGACCCGAAGCCGGCCTCCCAGACATGGCGCTCGCTCTCCTCGCTCAGCCCTCCGAGGCGGAAGTCAGGGGGCAGACTTCCGGAAGGGCTTTCTGGGGTCCCCCGGCCTGAGGACAGGGGCAGAGATCGGGTCTAGAGGCCTGGGAGTGGTGACTCTGTTCCCCTCTGGCATCTGACAACACCAGGGCCCCTGGCCTCTGCGGACCCGAGTCTGTGTCCCTCAGACCTTGCTCGACTCCCCCAGATTCCCGGGCACGTGGAGGCATGTGCTCAGCCTGACAGCCCCACCCAGGGCCCATAGAGCTGACAGGAGCACGAGGAGCTGGATTCTGTAGTGCCCTCCGTTCTGAAGCCCGAGGACCCCGAAATCCTCAATCAGGAGGGGCTCACACTTGCAGAGACCACTGCCATACCAGGACCAATGCTGGAGGGGGCACTACTGCGCCCAGGATGTGTCAGGAGCAGAGAAGAAGGATTATTATGAGTGAGGATTAAAAGTGAAATCACCCGCATTGGACAAGGAAAAGGTAGACACACAACCACAATGCCACAACACTTCCCTAAATCCCTGCTGCTGCTCAGCATCTTCAATAGTAGCTAACCTTTAGAACCCACAGTTTCCACAGTGTCAACTAAGCTGGTGAAGAAGCCCCATGAGACCCTTTAATCTTCTTTGCTCTCCACCCCTTCGAACAGGGCTAGGAAGAACCTGGGATCCTTGCTACTGGCCCTGAGCTAATATTTCAGGACTTTCAACTTGCTAGTTTCAGCGTGGGCCCTGGGACTCCTCAGGATCTCCTACGGTGCAGGATCACTTTTTAACTGGGTAGTACAAATACAGGTTTGGTCAATGTCATTCACACACTTAGATGCTGAAGCTTGTGAAGCCTTCTATGAAAGGAAACAACATTTGAGAAATTCCCATACAAAACAAGGATACATTTCAAAATCATCACAGGTACCCAAAGATGCTACAGCACTTCCCCATCCCCCACCCCCCAACTTGCCCTGGGCCTCATGTAAAGTGAAGAATTAGCCTCACATCATACCCAGCTCGAGAAGCAGCCAGACATGGACCTGAAACATGCCCGGGTGCAACGTGCCTTAGGACCCCTCTTCCTTGCCACTCATAGCCTCTTCAGACAGGGATGGGATGGAACTAAGATCCATTCTGTCATCCCTGAACAAAAATTCAAGGACTTTCAAGTTGGTGGTCTCAGCGTGGGCCCTGGGGCCCCAAAGGAACTTGTAGTGTGCCACATCACTGTTGGGTACCTGCGGGTACAAGCAGGTACTGTTCCTGCACCCAAACTTTGGTGAGGAGCCCCCGTGGGATCCTACGTTCCTTTCCATCATGCACCCCAATGACCTGCAGGGCTTCCCAGATTTCTTCCTTGGGGGCACAGTTGCCCTTCTTGGCAGTCACCCACAGAAGTGTAACCAGGAGGACATTGTTGGGAAATCTGTGCTCATTGCTCACCATCCTTCTCCTAAGGTATCTTGCAAAAGAGGGGATCACAAAGGCAGCAGTGTTGAATGGTGTCATCAAAGAGTACCAGGACCACTTCCCTGAGATCTTCATCCAGATCTACAGTGCATACGGCTGGGATTTGGAATTGATGGGAGGGAAGTAGACCCAATGACCACCGCTACGTCCTGTTCACCACTGTGGGCCTCACTTATGATTGGGAGCTGATCCCAGAAAGAAGATCTGACCAAGAGAGACATCAATACACAAGGAGCTT